TGGACTCCCAATCACCGGACCACAGGGAAGTCTGATGGACATTGATGGAGCAAAACTAAACAGGACACTCAAGGGGACGGTTGGGTTATTGATCTCGTCTAACCTGCTGCTCATCTTTGGAACGACTGAAGACCAAAGTACCTAAGCTTTCCTCTGTCTGGCCTTACAGGCAGCACATCAGCACACTGTTAGCAGGGACACAGAACACCTCCAGGCCCCGCCAATGCCTCACCCCCTGTGACCACAGTGCCTGCACAGAGCCACAGCCTCCTGCCTGCTCCTGGCCGCCTGGTCCCCAGCCAGTGGCCAGAGGGATCCTTTAAAATTTCACCATATCACTTAAAATTTAAATCAATTCTCTGCTCAAAATGGAGCTTCCCTCATAGCTCAGTTGGGAAAGAATCTGCCTGCAATGCAGGAGACCCCAGTTCAACTCCTGGATCGGGAAGATCCTCTGGAGAAGGGATAGGCTACCCACTCCAGTTTTCTTGGGCTTCCCTTGTGTCTCAGCTGGAAAAGAATCCACCTGCAATGCAGGAAAACTGTGTTTGATCCCTGGGTTGGGAAGATCCCCTGGAGAAGGGAAAGGCTACCCACTCCAGTATTCTGGCCTGGAGAATTCCATGGACTGTACAGTCCATGGGGTCGCAAAGAGTCGGACATGACTGAGCGAATTTCACTTTCATTTTCTGCTCAAAACTTTCTCAAAACTTCTTAAGACTTCCTTACCACTTCCATCCCTTCTCCCCGACCCCTACTGCCGAGCATTGCTGGTCTCATAACCTCCGCCCCTTTCTCCAGCCCTGCTCAAGGTGAACCTGATGAGCCACGCCTGCCTCAGGGCCTTTGTACTGACTATCGGCTCCGCCTGACTCTCCCTGCCAGCTCTTCATGGGGCTTATTTCTTCTCTTCATTCAGATTTTGCTTCAAATGCCAGCTTAATTTGTTGACTTCCTTGACCAGCACAGAAAACAGCTCTCTGCTGGCACGTCCTGCCCTCTGCTCCTCTGTGGTGCTCATCACCATCTCTCACACTTCTTTGGTGCCATAGTCCCTGCTGGAGCCCGCGGGCTCCGACCAGAGACTCTTGATTTGCTGCCCTGTGCTGTATGCATCATTCTAAGAGCTGCATTGGCCACCGAGTGTAAGCTGCATACATATTTACCCCATGAATGAACAAAGTCAAGATGCAAAAAACCACCCATTGAAAAAGAAATCCCATAATCTGAGACTGCAGTCATGGAAAAGAAGGGCGTCTGGAAGAGAACACCACCCTTGTCTTCCACGAAGATGTCAAAGGATAGTGTTGCTGGGATGCTAGTAGCTGCTGCAGACATTTGCTGGCTGAAAGTGTGTGTACTTGTGTTTCTGCTTAGTTGCTCAGTTGAGTCCAACTCTTTGCAACCACCTGGACTATAGCCCCCAGGCTCCTCTGTCCATGGAGATTCTCCAGGCAAGAATACTGGAATGGGTTGCCATGCTCTCCTCCAGGGGATCTTCCCAACCTTGGGATTGAAACCAGGCCTCCTGCATTGAGTCACCAGGGAAGCCTACCAGGGAAGCCCATTAATACTAGAGTGGGTGGCCTATCCCTTCTCCAGAGGATCTTCCCGACCCAGGAATCGAACTGGACTCTCCTGCATTACAGGTGGATTCTTTACCAGCTGAGCTACCAGGGAAGCCCAAAAGTGAGTGTAGGTAGTCTTAAGATGACAGCAGTGTTAAGAATGGAATGCTCACCTTCCAAGAATTGAAGATCTGGGTAGATTATGGTTAATGCATCAAAACCAATACATGATGGAGCTATGATTGCTATATCAATAACCACTGTGGTTTAAATTCACCCATTAAAAGTCAAGTCCCTGCTGGATTGAAAACCAACTCTAACAAGACATTGGTTATTGGACAACCTTGTACAAAAAAGAAAAATTTAAAAATATAGTAGGAAAACAGATTAAGCACACTTAATTTAAAACTCAAATCAGAGCTCTGTAAAAACCTAGAGGGGAGAGGTTGGGAGGGAGATGGGAGGGAGGTTTAAGAGGGAGGGGACACATGTATACCTATGACTGATTCATGTTGATATGGTAGAAACCAACACAATTCTCAAAGCAATTATCTTTCAATTAAAAAATAAATTTAAAATAAAAAAAAGAATTTGTAACTATATGAGGTGCTGGATTTTGACTTATTGTAATCATTTCATTTTACATATATACCTAATCATTATGTAATACATCTAAAACTAATAGAGTATCATACGTAAATTATACCTAAATAGCCTGAAAAAATAAACTGAACCACCCAAAATAAGAAAGATTTAAGATCAACTTATTTTGACAAAAATATTAAAAACAATAAACACAAGGCATTAATTAAACTTCTTGAATAGGGTCAGATAATGTAGCAGCATTAGGATATTTTAAATAAAATCTATTAGAAAATAGCAGCAGAGGAGATTGGGTAATAAAAAAACCCACAATTACAGGGAGAGACAGTAATTCACTATTAGTAGGAAACACAAATAAAATGAGGGCAGAGGCAAAGTTGTTACTATAAATAATCAGAGTAAACAGACATATGCAGGACTCTTCTGCCAAAGCAGGAATTACTTATTTCTACAAAAAAAAAAAACTCTGTAACATGGGAGTCTATAAATAAAAATGGTATAATCATCCAATTAAGAGATTACCCTTTCATCCAAATACAAAAGCAAATGGACACTCAACAAAGCCCTGAAGAAAATTTAAATGAACTTCAAAGACCAGAAGTTTTCAGAGCCTTTATTCTTTAGCAGACAGAGGGAAATAAAAAGTCAGAAATTATACAAATGAGGAATACTTCCAAGAGCTGGTAAGAGCAAAAACAATAACATTGACACATTGCTGGCAAATATAGCTAAAGTGAAAAAAGGAAAGTAAACATACACCAAATTAGAAATGAAAAGAGGGAATAAATAATAATATGATTGTTTTGGAGGCTTCTCAGCTCTGTTGCCTCTTCTGAGACTTGGGCTGGTTGGTCCTTGATTGTGGGGAGTGAGGTGCCTATGTGGATGTAGCTGGGGTGAGCACTAGCCTTTGCTGGGTTTGGTTTTGGAGGTTGGAGGTGGGCTGGCTGTGGGCCCTGGTGTTTGTGTACAGGTTCTTTTGGGGGCCAGCACCATCCCTCACTACATAATGAGAAGAAGATGTGTGTCTGGACAGGTACGTGGAGTCTATTCAGACTGCTGTGTTGAGAGGAGGGAATATTTGATGCCATTAAGGATGTGTCTCTCATCTTCCATCCTGGATGGAAGGTAACCCTCCTAACATCCACCTGTGACCTTTGTTTAAATTTTACAGAGGGCCATTGGTTTTCACCCATGAGGGTTTAGTATTTGAATGGGCTGCTATGGAAAATATCCCTGTCTGGCAGCTTAAATGACAGGCATTTACTCCTCGTGGTTTTGGAGGCTGAAAGTGTGAGATCAAGGTGGTGGCACTGTTGGTTCTGCTGGGAACTCTCTGCCCACAGAGCACCACCTTTTCACTGATTGAATGAGCTGTCTGGTACCTCTTCTTGTGAGGGACTAATCTCATCAGGAGGACCCCACCCTCATGACCTCATCTAAATTCAATTATTTTCCAAAAGCCCCACCGCCAAGTAACAGCACTTTGGAAGTTAGCAGGTCAATGTCTAAATTCGTGGAAGGGGCATGGTTTGGTGGACGGCAGGTATGCTCTGCCATTTCGGTTTCCACACACATCCTAAGCTCTATGCTTTGTCATAAGGTTATGACAATTCAATCTACCTTCATAAGGCATGAGAAGTAAGAAATAGTAAAAATGGAAAAAAAAAAAAGAAGAGACTATTTGTAGATGACAAAAGTATTTAACTGGAAAATCTTTTCCAGAGTAACAATATTTTAAAAGTTGATAGAAATAGTGAAAGCTTCAGTTCAGTTCAGTCACTCAGTTGTGTCTGACTCTTTGCGACCCCGTGGACTGCAGCACGCCAGGCCTCCCTGTCCATCACCAACTCCCGGGATTTACTCAAACCCATGTCCATTGAGTCGGTGATGCCATCCAGCCATCTCATCCTCTGTCGTCCCCTTCTCCTCCCGCCTTCAATCTTTCCCAGCATTGGGGTCTTTTCAAATGAGTCAGTTCTTTGCATCAGGTGGCCAAAGTATTGGAGTTTCAGCATCAATCCTTCCAATGAACATCCAGGACTGATCTCCTTTAGGATGGACTGGTTGAATCTCCTTGCAGTCCAAGGGACTCTCAAGAGTCTTCTCCAACACCACAGTTCAAGAGCATCAGCGCTTAAGTACAGCCACCAAAAAAAGTTGAATGAGTTCCTTTCCTGTTGCAACAGCTAAATGGATCCCCCTCCCCAAAAGCCGCCCCACGATGCACTGGGAAGAATATCGGAAGCACACAGTGAGACCCTCCCTGGTGTTATTGGGGTCTAGACTTGAGGTGGGGTTAAACGCATGAGATGGGCTCATCCCTGATGTTCAAATGCTGAAGAGCAGGGCTGAGAGACTCCAGGACGCTCATTCCTCTAGTGCAGAGAGGGGCTTGGGTGGGCGCGCTTGGCCTGTGCAGACTGAGAGATGTGATGGGGCACGTGTGTGTGAGTGCACGTGTACATGAATGTGTGCACACAGCTGTGTACACCTGTGCGTGCAAGAGCTGCCTGTCTTCACCACTGCCAGCCTCGGGGACCACTGGCGCCCAGAGGCCTGGGGGATCCCAGATTGCTTCTCAGGAAGTGAGTGGCCCCAATGCCCCCGTGGAGCCCCAGGTCAGGCTCCCATCCCCACAGGGAAGGTGGCTCCTGACCCCTAGGCTCCTGTTGCTAGGAAAACACTCGCTTTGATCCTGTATGTGGAGTATTTGCCTTGGGCTCTCAGAAGAACAAGATCCACCATGGGGTGAAGGAGAAATACCACTGGAAACCGCTGAAAACTGAAGGAGGAGTCACATGGCATTCTGGGCGGCAGGTGCCCCCCTTACTGCCAGCACTCAGCACGTGCAAGGGCAATGGGCAGGGGGCCGTGGGACGCAGCACGCCAGCACTCGGGCCTGGGGCAGCCCATGGACAGGGGAGCCTGCGGGGTACCGTCCGTGGGGTCGCAGAGAGTCGGATACGTCTGAGCAACTGAGCCCTCACTCAGAAACCGCCTGTAAGTACCGGGCGAATCAGGTGCTTGCACGGCTGCTGCCCCGCTGCCTGCGGCCTGTGCCCGGTTCACGGCTCTGTGCACTCGCAGGGTGGGAGCCGGCCTGCTGCTGGAGTAGGGGAGAAGCCGCACCTTCTTTCTGAGTGTCAGGGGGGAGCTTCCCGCTGGCATCCTGCTGCCTCCTTCCGTCTCTTTGCCTCCCCAGCTCCATCCTGGCTGCTCACACCACCGGGCCGTCCATCCATGTCCAAGCCCCTGGTCCCGGATGCCCATATCTGAGGCCAGCCTGATGCATATCTTTGAACTCCCCACCCCGGGGCCCTTGTTGCCGGCGGACAGCTCACTCGACTGGCCTCCTTTTAAGTCTCCCAAGGTTTACCCCGGCTCCACGTGCAGGCTTGATCATTTTTCTCTAGCTCCCTTGTCTGTGGCCGTGGCTGCCGGGGCAGTTGTAGCCGCCACTCGCAGACCCACTGGAATCCGAGGGGGAGCACAGCCGGCTGCGGGCTGAGCCTCATGTAAGTGCTGTTTGGCCCACAAGAGTCCCCAAAGGTGACATTCGAGCGAATGCACTGGGGTGTCTGGTGTCTCGTCACCCGCCTGGACCCAAACCTGCCCGCCAGCCTCCACCGGAAGGTGGAGGTGTGAGTGTCGAGGGCCACCGCACGCTGGGACGCCTCCAAATGCATCACAGTTACAGAAACATCTGTGCTACACACCTTTGCGTGGGTTGCTTGTGTGCATTCGCGGGGTGTTCCGCCGCCTCCGAATTTCTCATCTCTACACTGTCAACAAGCCGCAGGTGCGCACAGCAGGGGGCCCCCCAGGACTGGGGTTCAGGGGTCTGGGCTGAAAGATCTGTATCCAGGTTGCATTTGTTCTCTCCAGCCCACCCCCCTTTCACATACCTGTGCTTACCAAGGGCTCCGAGGAGATCTGTCTTGTCTGATGACTTTTTGGCTCTTGGCATCCCGGGAGGGGAGAAGCGGGTGGAAGGTGGTGGTATTGAGAGGATGGAGCTCATGGGTGCCTGGCCGGGCTGGGTGGTGTTGGGGGCCTTCTCTGGTGGAAGAGGGGAGCCAGGCCTGCTCCATGTGCAGCATGTGCTCAAGAGAAGAGCCAGCCAGGGAGAAGCCGGCTGTGGCCACCTCGGGTCTGTGGACATAACGCGTGCTATTTTGAAAAACTTTTGCTATCGTTAGTAATGTTAGGTGTTCAGAATGTTCAGGCACTAGATCTAGATTTCTGGCTTCTTCTGAGCAGTCAACAGTTTGCTCCACGGGGTCTGAATTCCCAGGTCAGAACACAGGTGCCGGCCGCCTTGGGAAGGTGCCCACCCGCCTCGGCCTGTCTCCCCTCCTCTGTCCCTCGTGGGCCCCTGGAGGCGATCAAGTTGGTGGCAGACGGCCAAGCACGCTGCTCTTTCCACAGGCACACACACTGAACTCATGTCTTGTATTTTTGCTGTGTTTGTTGTGGTTCAATCTGGCAACCCTGTTTGTATCTCTAAGGACTGTGCCCAGGCTCTCTAGATGTCTCTGCATATCCTGATTTCTTGGGCGGCAGTTCAACTCTGCACACCTCGAGCAGGCACTGGGCATCCAGAAGGGGCTGTCCTGGGAGTTTGGGGTGGAGTCCCCTCCGCTAATTGGCTACCAGGGCTTCTTCTGGGTGCTCCTGAGCCCCACACCGCTGCTCTGGGTGGGGGGCTTGGCTTCCTGAATAAATAAACTCTGCCCTGAAAAAGTCTAGATTCAGCCACTTGGTAGAAAAAGAGCCTCGGGAAGGTATGATGCTGTCAGAACAGCGTCAGCTTGTCTTGATCAGATTATATTCACGTGGTTCTGGGTGTATCAGGTACCAGGAAGGATAGAATACACTTTCACTCACTGAACACCTACTGTGTATCAGGAGCCCTGCTAGACCTGGAAGCGCATATCAGGCATGGGTTTCCAATTGGAGCATTTCAGTCTCACTGGGGAAGTGCAGGCAGCTCCAGAAGGGGGACCAAGGACTCTGGACCGAGGCCGTCAGGACGGAGGACAAGGAAGAGGGAGTGATCACAGCTTGGACCTCTGGAGGCCAGAGGCTTCTCAGGAGGTTGGCCTGGCGTGGGGCAACGACCTCGAGCTCTCCCGGGCCCCGTGTGCTGTGACAATGATTCCTTTATCCCCAGGCCTTTGTCTAACCCTAACCTTTAGATGTCAGGTGAAGGATCAGTTCCCTGGACTCACTTCCTGGCTCCCTGGACAGTCAAATCCCTCCCACTGCAGGCTCCTTCAGTGTCTCCAGAACTTGCTGTGGAAGTTTTATATTTGGGTGATTTTTGACTAATACATCCCTCCCCCCAGAAACCCTGGGGGCAAGGCCATGTGCGTTTTCACCCACAGTCATATCCCCAGTGCCTGGCTTGGGGCCTGTTGCAGGAGAGACATTCACTACTCACTACTCATAAAGAAATGAACACAACGAATGAGTGAATGAATGAGTGAAGGAATAAAGGAATGCCACACACAGTTTCAGAGCTTGAAACGTCCTCAAGGGACATGACAAGCTTGAGGGTCCATGTAAAAATAGCAAATAATTATTAAAGGTCGTAAGCACTTTACATTAATTTTTATTTTTTAAATTTTATTGGCATGTAGTCAATTTACAGTGGAGAAGGCAATGGCACCCCACTCCAGTACTCTTGCCTGGAAAATCCCATGGACGAAGGAGCCTGGTAGGCTGCAGTCCATGGGGTCGCGAAGAGTCAGGCATGACTGAGCGACTTCACTTTCACTTTTCACTTTTATGCATTGGAGAAGGAAATGGCAACCCACTCCAGTCTTCTATCCTGGAGAATCCCAGGGATGGGGTCACACAGAGTCGGACACGACTGAAGTGACTTAGCAGTAGCAGTAGCAGATTAGTTTCAGGTGTACAACAAAGTGATTCATCGATGCATACACATATTACAGTTTTAAAGATTATTTTCTCATATAGGTTATCACTATTCTTAATTGATTTTTACTGGAGTATAGTTGATTTCCTATGCTGTATTATTTTCTTATCACAGATTACTGAGTGAACTCCCTGTGCTATACAGTAGGTCCTCGTTGGTTATCTATCCTGTATCTATTCTATATGTCTATCCTATATCCTATATATAGGATATATCCTATATCCTATATACAGTAGTGTGTGCATGTGTACCCCAAGCTCCTGATTTATCCCTCCCAAGCATTTTACATTATGACATAATTTAAACCTAAGAGCACACCTGTGAAGTTGATGATCTCTTTCTATTGATGAGGAAGGAGGTAAATTTGCCTAAGATCATGTGCTAGTAAGTGACAGAGATGGGACTGAAGCCAAGGGGCAGACTTAAATACATTTACTAAGGACTCAACATTCCTACCATCAGGGCACGGGCTTCTCGGGTGGGGCAGTGGTGAAGAATCCATCTGTCAATGCAGGAGACATAGGAGATGTGGGTTTGATCCCTGGGTCAGGAAGATCCCCTGGAGTAGGAAATGGCTAGCCACTCCAGTATTCTCGGCTGGAGAGTCCCATGGGCAGAGGAACCTGGTGGGTTACAGTCCCTGGGATGGCAAAGATTCAGATGCAATTGAGCACATACACACTCCTGTCAGGTTATGGGGTCTCTGTTACCCTTTTAAATCTTGGCAGGTTGTGACCATGACCACGTTGACCGAAGGAGTGTATGAAAAAAGTGAGGCTCCATGAATCCTGATGCTGGGTGACAAAGGGCCATGCTGCTGCTGCCCGCTTCTTTGGGGCCACTTGGCCTGGTCTATGTGGAGGTACTGGTCAGGGTCCCCACTAAGCCCAGCCCCCCATCCATCCCTGCCCAAGGGCCATACATGTCCATGAGACCTTCTTGGACCCTCCAACTGAATACCACTGGGCAATGTTATTCAACACTATAGAACAGGAGAGTCAACAGCCAATCCCTGCCCAAATGCCCACCCACAAAGCCATGATGGTTGCTAGAATGATTGTAATTTTATGCCACTATTATTTTATAGCTATGTGCTTAGTCACTTCTGTTGTGTCCAATTCTTTGTGACCCCATGGACTGTGGCCATCCAGACTTCCCTGTCCATGAGATATTCCAGGAAAGAATACTGGATTGGGTTACCATTTCCTTCTCTAGAGGATCTTCCTGGCCCAGGGATCAAACGTGCATCTCTTGTGCCACAGAGAACCACAGCAGTTCTAAGCTGGCCGAATCTGTCCTCTGCAGGCTTCCAGGCACCTCTGCACACCCATCACTATTGTTGTTCAGTTGCTAAGTCGTGTCTGACTCTTTGCAACCCCATGGACTGCAGCACGCCAGGTTTCCCTGTCCTTCACTATCTCCTGGAGTTTGCTCAAACTCATGTCCATTAAGTTGGTGATGACATCCAACCATCTCATCTGGTGGCCCGCTTTTCTTCCTGCCCTCAAGTTGTCTTTTGAAACAAAGGTCCTGCTGGAAGTTAGAAGACTTGCTCACAAACCTGTCACTGTTGCAGAGTCCACCTCAGGTCTTCTGGGGGCTTTGCACTGGCTGCTTCCTTCTCCCTCCTGCTCTTTGCCCCTGGGCTTCCCTGGCTAAAGCCCCTGGGCACATCCATCCAGAGCTCAGGGCTGGGTGGGCTGCAGGCAGTCAGGCAGAAGGTCTTCAGGGGCCTCAGATTCCCCATCAGCCTCATGAATTGTCAGTTCATTTGGCATCAAAGAAAGGCTGGAAAACTGACAAAAAGAGGAGAGAGGGAGGAGAGGCGCATGAAGACCAGCAGAGATTGGAAAGATGCCCAGAAATGTGATGGATGCCCGCAATACCAAGAAGCCAGGAGAGAGGCTTGAGGTGGTTTATGGGCTCCAGGAGGAATGGGTGCTGCCAACACCTTGATTTTTGGACTTCCGGTCTCTAGACCATGAGAGGACATATCTTTTTTTCAAGCTTTGCAGGTTATGGTAAGATGGTACCGCAGCCCTGAGGACGAATGCAATGACCAATAAATCAGAGGATTTGGTAGTATGGGATTGATTGGCATGAAATAAATGGCAGAAAATTTAATTCTTTAAAATCTCATTGCCTTTGGAAACTTTGGTTGACCAATGGTACTGTTGACTAATTGAGGGAAGACATAGGGACTTCCCTGGTGGTCCAGTGGTGAGACTTCGCCTTCTAATGCAATGGGTGTGGGTTCGATCCCTGGTTGGGGAGCTAAGATCTCATGTGCCTGGTGACCCAAAAACCAAAACATAAAACAGAAGCAATGTTGTAACCAACTTAAGACTTTAAAAATGTTCACATACAAAACCTGTAAAAGATGAAAAACATGTAGACTATTTTTTTTAAAGGAGAAGAAGGCTGCAATCCAGATAATAGGACAAGCAGAGGAAGTCACCCTCTGCTGGGACATGGCTGGAGGAACAGAGTCGGGCATTGCCAAGGGTTCCAACTTCCGTGGTCACTGGAGGCTGGGACAGTGCTGTTTTGCACATTTTGTTCCTGAATCATCTTCACAAACTCTGTTTTGGGTAGAAGACAGAAATCTATCAAACACCACACAGATTAACTTATCACAGTGCTAAATGGGCTGTCAGGGTAGGGAGGCGTGCTTGGCCCAGTGAATTCAAATGCATGTAAATTTCCCTTGTGGCAAAGTTGAGGACGGTGGAGCTGTCAGACAGTGACATGTGGAAATACATTAACAGTGTTTAGAATGTATTTGAAGGGGCTGCCTCATATTTTGATAACACGCTCACTGGTAGATGATGCGTGGAGGATGGGAAATTCTGACCTCAGCATCTACTCCAGAGGACTCTTTGTGATGAGACCCCTCCCAGCATGTCAGGTGTTTGGAGAAGGCCAAAAACAACTAACACACCAGCCCGACCTGGGGAAGGTCTCCCGTGCCACTGATGTGCCACTGATGTGTGGGGTCAGAGTTCTGATGACTCTGTCATCGCCACGCCAGCTCACGAAAAAGTGATTAGGACTTAAAAAGAATCAACCATGTTGTGTTATACACTTGCCACTGGATCCTCAATGCTGCATCTAATGGGGCTTTGTGCTTTTAGTCTTGTGTATTTATTTGAAAACTAGATGCCCTTGACTTAATGTCATTATTCTCAGTGTTTAAGGAAAAGAGCATTATTAGGAGCGTGCTGTGTTGGTTGGAAGGAATAGGAAAGTGTCTGTTGTGATCTGACTCACTTTTAGTTCTGCCAAACTTGCTGATGTCTCCCAGATTTCCAGCTGAGGCCACCAAGACACCTGATTCTTTTAATGTGAAGTGAAAGTCACTCAGTCGTGTCCGACTCTTTGCAACCCCGTGGACTATACAGTCCATGGAATTCTCCAGGCCAGAATACTGGAGTGGGTCGCCTTTCCCTTCTCCAGGGGATCTTCCCAACCCTGGGTTTGAACCCAGGTCTCTCGTGTTGCAGGTGGACTCTCTTTTAACGTGAGTTTATTTACTTTGCCTGTGATGGGTCTCTGCGGCTGTGTGCAGACTTTCTCTAGTTGTGGGAAACGGGGACCACTGCCTGGTTTTGGCGCACAGGCTCCTCATTGTAGCGGCTTCTCTCGTGGCAGAGCACGGCCTCCAGGGCACATGGGCTTCGGTTTTTGTTGCGCATAGTCTCAGTCTGTCCCACTGCGTGGGGCATCTTCCCAGGCCAGGGATCAAACCCATGTCCCCTACACTGGCAGGCAGATTCTTATCCACTGTACCACTAGGGGAATCCCAAAGATATGTGATTCTTCAACAGTTAATGCAGGTTCCCTATAATCCCCAGGCTACCTGGATCAACAGGTCAAGTCCTTCTACAAAGACAACTGACTGTCTCTTATGGCTCCTGGATCCTTTAATTCTCCACTAGCCAAAGAGAGCCCTTATTTCATCCTATTTCCAAACTCCCCAGTTTCCCCTTCATATGTCAGGCTATCTTCAAAGTTGGCGAATATTCAAAGAGCAGCCTTACCTGACAGAAAGGAAGTGTGATGCAGCCAGCTGTCCTGCCTTGAGCTGGGAGTAAATGCACTAATATCCACGAGCTAGACAAACAGAAACTGTCGTTTCTTTCTTGATATATTCTTTTACAATCATAATGTGCATGTCTGGACTGATGTGATAGGATAATGATATGCCTTGGTCTCTATCTTACTTGGGATAATGATATGTCTTGGTCTCTATCTTACTTGGCGAGCAAACACAATTCCAAAACACTATGATGAAGACTACGATGGCAGAACACACAGATGGCTCTGGAAATGTCGAGGAGAGGCACCTAACAACCCACAATAGTGCTGGAGACCTGTCAGGGCGGACTCTTGCTGACAGTGAGGAGCTGGCTGGGTGCTGACCGCAGGGAAGAATAATCAGGGCAGAGACGCCCAGGTTTAGAGGTACGAGAGCCTACCATTCATCATGCACCAGCTCTCTGCTAAGTCCTGGTGCTAATCCGGGGGCTTTCGAGAGAAAAGAGCAATGCCCTGTCTCTAGGAGGTCATTGGAGAGAACGGGGTTGATTGCCAAGTGAACGGCCCGTCATAAAGGCATCACTGAAACCACTACCTCTCCGGCAGTAGGTGTGAGATGACCATTTCTCTGCAGCAGGGCTTCTCGACCCGACACTCTGACATCTAGGGCTGGAGGTCTCTTCACAGGAGAGGGCTGTCCTGTGTATTAGAGCTTCACCACGTTGAGGGACTCCATGCGTGATATGCGGGTGGTAACCCCCAAGTTATGACAACCAAACACATCCAGAAAGTGCCGGATGACATCGTCAAAGGTCCCGCCAGAACGAATGAAAACAAAGTTCTTATCTTCCTTTATCCATCACTCAGAGTTCAACTAGCAGATTAGACTCTAAGGAGGAGGCCCTGTGTTTTCCTGGCTCAGATGAGCAGGAGAGCATTACTCTCTCACAAGGCGCAGCCAAGCCTTGAGCACCCTGAAGTGGGGAGACGGTGCTGTTCCACGAAGCCTAAGGTGTGAACTGAGTCCCCACCCGGTCCATCCCGGGCCTCAGGAAGGAGTAGAAGAGCAGGTGACAAGCAAGCAGTGTCCCCAGAAAACTGTCATCAGGAAGCCCCCAAGACCCCGCTCAACCACTACCGCACAGTCACGTTCCGGCAGCTCACGCAAGCCAAGCAGGGCAATGAATGCAGTCTGCAGTGGGGAGGCCAGGTCCCCGGTAAAGTGCAGGGGAAGTTAGCAGTTATAGGAGGAAGGGGACAGTGTGGACACTGGGGAAAAGTCTCTATGACGTTCGACAACTGTCTGAAGGGAGATGACCTGTCCACAAGCACTGATTTAGGTCCCAGACCAGCAGTGAGCAAATGCGGCTTGGGCTTTGTTGGGGAAGGAGGGGGGACTGGCATGCCAGCAAAGAAATGAACACAAGTTGTGACAAGCGCTTAGAAAGAAGCCAGTAGTGAGAGAATAACTGGGTGGGAGGAACAGCTTTAGATGGAGTGGTGGAGAGGGCTTCACTCTGCAAGTGGAGATGCACGTGAGATGAATCCTGCAAGACCAGAGGGAGCCAGCCACATGCAGAAAAGGGGTGTGTGTGTGTGTGTGTGTGTGTGTGTGTCTGTGTTTGTACATGTGTATTTTGTGCAGAGGAAAGACATGCAAACCTCAACACAAGGAAGACGAGAGAAAGAGGAGAGAGAGCAAGAGAGCAAGCAGAATTCTTGCGAGATGAGCTGGCCTTCGGGGTTGTTTTTCCCTAGAGGTGATTGTCAGTCCAAGCTAGCAGCTCTCAACAGACTCAGGGTAAAACCTGAAGTCCAGGGACTGCCAAGGACACAGAAGAGATAAATAGATAACTTTGCCCCAAACAACTACAAAATGCATATTTTTTTCAAGCAATCAAGGAACATTTAAAATTTATATAGTGGGCAGTAAAGTAAGTCAATAAATTTCAGCTGATTAAATTCAGACAGAGAATGTTCTCTGACTAGAAAAAACCCCAAGGGTTTGGCAAATTAAGAAAAACACTTTTAAACTGCTGGTAAGTCAGAAAAAAAAAATCACAGTAGAAATTAGGAAATATTTCAAACTAAACAATAATGAGATCTACATATGAAAGCTTGAGGGATTCATCTAAAGCCATGATTGGAAGGAAATTCACATCTGTAACTTAATACATGAGAAAACAAGATAGTCTGAACATGAGCTATCAAATATCCAGCTAAAGAAATAGAATATAGAAGGAAACAAATAATACATTTAAAGACAGCAGTTACCAAACAGGAGACAGACGTACAATTGAGAAAAACAACAAAGTCACGAACTGGTTCTTTGAAGACTGATACAAATAAATGAATAAATAGTAAATAAAATTTATTACTCCCTGGCTAAAAATGAGAAGGCACAAAATACCAGGTTGGAGTAACTGTGATCTCTCTGTCACTCATATACAAAAATTAACACAAAAGTGTTCAGAGGCATAAATGTAAACTCTAAATCTGTGAAAATTCTTGAAGATAACATAGTAAAACATCTTTGGGTTAGGGAAAGAATCCTTAGATATGTATCCCATAAATAAGTAAATAGATAACTGATAAGTTAGACTTAATAATTATTAAGAACATCAGCTCTTCAAAATAGAATGGAAAAATGGGCCACAGATTGGAAAAGAATATTTGCAAATCCTGTACTTTAGTATGTCCTTATATCCAGAATACACTAAGAATGGGTGAAAGTCACTGATAAGGAAAACAATCCAATTTTTCAAATAAGCAAAAAAATAGACTAAAATTTTCACTAAATTTTATATATACACAGATGTCAAACTATTTCAGCACCATTAGTCATTAGAGAAATGCTAGTTAAAACCACGGGGAGGCACTACTGCATGTTTTTAAACTTTATCAAAGTTATTTTGGAATCCATTCTTGCTTATCTTTGCTACCAGGGTGTGACAGATCCGGAGTGTTTTCTGAAAACCATAGCTTTGACTAGATGGACCTTTTGTCAGCTAAGTAATGTCTCTGCTTTTTAATATGCTGTCTAGGTTGGTCATAACTTTCCTTCCAAGGAGTAAGTGTCTTTTAATTTCATGGCTGCAGTCACCATCTGCAGTGATTTTGGAGCCCCCAGAAATAAACTCAGCCACTGTTTCCCCATCTATTTGCCATGAAGTGATGGGACCAGATGCCATAATCTTAGTATTCTGAATGTTGAGTTTTAAGCCAACTTTTCTCTCTCCTTTTCACTTTCATCAAGTGGCTCTTCAGTTCTTCTTCACTTTCTGCCATAAGGGTGGTGTCATCTGCATGTCTGAGGTTATTGATATTTCTCCTGGCAATCTTGATTCCAGCTTATGCTTCATCCAGCCCAGTGCTTCTCATGATGTACTTTGCATATAAGTTAAATAAGTAGGGTGAAAATATACAGCCTTGACATACTCCTTTTCTTATTTGGAACCAGTCTGTTGGTCCATGTCCAGTTTTAACTGTTGCTTCCTGACCTGCACACAGATTTCCCAACAGGCAGGTCAGGTAGTCTGGTATTCCCATCTCCTTCAGAATTTTCCAGTTTATTGTGATCCACATAGTCAAAGGCTTTAGCATAGTCAATAAAGCAGAAATAGATATTTTTCTGGAACTCTCTTGCTTTTTTGATGATCCAGCAGATGTTGTATATTTGATCTCTGGTTCCTCTGCCTTTTCTAAATCCAGCTTGAACACCTGTAAGTTCATGGTTCACATACTGTTGAAGCCTGGCTTGGAGAATTTTGAGCATTACTTGGCTAGCTTGTGAGATGAGTGCAATTGTGCAATAATTTGAACATTCTTTGGCATTGCCTTTCTTTGGGATTGGAATGAAATCTGACCTTTTCGTCTTGTGGCCACTGCTGAGTTTTCCAAATTTGCTGGCATGTTGAGTGCAGCACTTTCACAGCATCATCTTTTAGGATTTGAAATAGCTTAGCTGGAATTCCATCACCTCCACTAGCTTTATTTGTAGTGATGCCTCGTAAGGCCTATTCGACTTCACATTCCAGGATGTCTGGCTCTAGGTAAGTGATCACACCATCATGATTATCTGGGTCATGAAGATGTTTTTCATACAGTTCTTCTGTGTATCCTTGCCACCTCTTCTTAATATCTTCTGCTTCTTTTAAGTCCATACCACTTCTGTCCTTTATTGTGCCTATCTTTGCATGAAGTGTTCCCTTGGTATCTCAAATTTTCTTGAAGTGATCTCTAGTCTTCCCCATTTATCTTTCTAACTATAATCTATCTATCAATCATCTATCTATCTATTCATCTATCACCTATCTATCTCTCTATCATCCGTCTATCTCTCTATCATCTCTCTATTCATCATCTATCATCCATCCATCTATCATCTATCATCTGTCTTTCTATCATCCCTCTATCACCTCTCTACCTAACTATCATCTTTCTATCTATCATCTACCTCTCCATCATCTATCATCCATCCATCCATCTGTCATCTGTCTCTCTATCATCTCTCTATCTCTCTATCATCTATCTCTCTATCTACCACCTATCATCTATCTCTCTATCATCTATCATCCATCTCTCTATCTATCACCTATCCATCTATCTCTTTATCATCTATCTACTCACTTATCTATCTCATGGAGCCACAGCACATGCAAACTCCCTGCAGAGTTCTGGAGTCCCCAGTTTCCCCACTGTCTCAGCCTCATGCAACTCTGATCTTTGTCTCCTCAACTTACAAGCCCACTGTGTCCTGTTTCGTATCCCCCTTTCTATATCAAATTAAAAAGAGCCTTGAGGAAGGAACTCAAGGTGATTGTGGGGATTCCCTGTTTCCTTTCTCCTAGGGGTCACAGTTCTGAGATGTCTGTTGTCCAACATCTGGGGTATGGAGAGGATTTCTGTGGCTTAATATGTGATTCCTAAGCTAAGTTTCTGAGATTAAATAAAAGAAATAATTATTAACATAGTTTGTAAATTATATATTTTGGAGTTTTCTTCCTTATTTTCTGAATTGAGTTTCATCTTCTTGGTGCCTAGTTACAGAGGCTTTCTATTTTTGGAATATTTTCTGTTCTAATTTTCTTGACTACAAAAAAATTGACCCTGAGATGGAGTCTGATTAAATTGATATAATTATTTCCAAGAATGAAATACGAATCTAGTTTTGATATCTTGAAAGAATACATATCATGCAGATTATTCCATATCCTTTTAAAATTGTTTTGACAATAAGAAGCTGATTTGTATCTTTCCCTACAATAACAGAGTAAAAAGAAAGAAAACAACAATTTCAATAAATGTAGAGCAAAATTTTGATAAAAACTAATGATAATGATATTTTATCAAAATGGTAACCCCCAAAAAGGTATTTAACTAGAAAATGGCATCTATCAAAATTACATAGAAACATCATGATTAATAGCTAACCATGAGAAGCATTCTTTTAATGTCATGAACAAGATAAATATACCACCATTATAATTTCCAATAAATGTTGCAACTAATACAATGAAACAAAAGAAAAACAATGTGAGTCAAGAAGATCTACAGACACATAATTAGAATGAATAAAGAGCTTGACAAGTTTAGTAGATATAAGATCAATACACATAAATCAGTTCTTTCCTACATACCAGCAGTAAGCAACCAAGAATGTAATTTTTAAGAATACCATTTATTGATAGCACAAAAATTATAGTGAAATCAACAGAACAAAAAAGTAAAGAAATCTTATTGATTAAATATGCTTCCTTACTAAAATGAACTTGTCTTCTTTGAAAAATTTCCAATTCTGAGAAATGGATGATTAACAAAGGTACAAGAAGAGACTAGAATGGTATGCTGTCAGAGATCATAGGAATGCTCAAAAATTATTCAAACAGCTGAGAAGGATGTGGGAGAGAGCTTAGGTTTAAAACTGGCCAAATATGGGTCATCTTGGAGGTCACAAAAAGTACCAATTTTTTTTAACTTTACAAAAAGTACCATCTTTACTTACTTTTTTAAAAGTGAAGATGGTAATGGATTATAACACTTGGGTCAAAAAGGAAACTCATGTGTCCATAGTGATAAGAAAAAAAACTTACTTGTCAATAGTGGGGAGGCTCTCCTGTACAGATGATGGCTAGCTAAGAAAAGCATAAAGAATCTTAAAATGAAACAGACTATTCTGCAAACTCCTAGTGCAGCTGATTCATACAAAGATCATAAA